AGTACTTGCAACTAGACTATAACAGCACGTTGAAGAGATACATGGGCCTAGGGAGATGGTTCAGTAGGTAAAAGTACTTGCCATACAAACCTGAGGACCTGAGTTTGTACCCTGGAGCCCAGATTAAACAAACCCAAGGGAAATAGGAGGTGGGGGAAAGAAAACAGCCAGGAAACTCAAAGCCAACTAGCCCACAGTATGCCTGCCGCGAGTGTGAGAAACAAATCAATGCCACCTCAACACAGTCCCGAACTGTCCTCTCAACTCCATAATGCTCCATGTCATGTACATGCCAGTGCACGCGCGCACACACACACACACACACACACACACACACAGTAATAAAACTAAAGTTTCTAAAAAGTGAAGGAAACAATGACCAGAGTCAAGAAGGGACAGTCGACAGAATGGTAGGGCATCTTGCCAGCCATCTACCTCAAAGAGAATCAGTATCTACAACAAAAAAGATTAAACACCTAAAAGAACACACAACAAGTGGGCAAATGAACTGAAAATGCACTTTCAATGAAGAAATACAGCTGGCCAATAAATAATTGACAAGCCAACCTCTTTAGGCTCATCAGGATAACGCGAATCAAAGCTACAATTGTGATCCTGTCTCACCCCAGTCAGAATGGCCATCATCAAGAAACAAAAAGAAACAAATGCGGACGAAGACGCTGTGAGCAGGGACCGGGAGCAAGGGACCCTTCTACAATGCTGTGGGAATGTGAACTAGTGTAGCCACTATGGAACACTTAATCTCATGCACTGCTTGTAGGGATACACAATGGTGTATCTGCTGTAGCAAAGTTTGAGCAGTCTACAAAATTTCATCAGTCACCAGATAACCCCGTGCCCTTTCTAGGTGCAGAACCCTGACAATTTAAACGTGCCCTGAAAAACAAAGATGTTCAGAGCAGCATCCCTAAGTGTCAAAATGACCACTAATTGCTGAATAAACCATATGTGCTACAGTTGTAAGTTATTCAGTCACAGGAAGGAATCAAATACTAAAAAATTTACATACAACAAATATTAACTTTGAAAACATTTTGACAAGAAAGGCTGTAACTAGATGGTCATTTAAATAAAAATTTCAAAACAGGCAAATCGAAATGAATTACAGTACTCAATTGGAGTATGGTGTTGCAGAGGGTTAACGAGGACTAAGTGGTAATGATATCCAGGGCTCATTTCAAGGATGATGATGTGTTCTGAAATTAATAACAGTTGTGCAATTCTGAATATCCTAAAAGCAAATCACACAATTTAAAGTGGCAAAATTTGTAATACAAAAAAAATGTACCGAAATTTTTCAGAGCGGCCACACTTTGACATAAAAATGCTATGTCTGTCCTAGCTGAAAATCAGCCGTTTCCCTCAAGCATGCCTTCTCTCTGCTCCATAACCCTCTCTGTCAAACCACATCTAGAGTAGATAACTCAACACTACAGCTGCGTAAGCCCTACCTCCTCCCAAATAAAATAATCTAGGGATAATTCAGTGGCTTAAATACAGTCAACATTCACACTGGAGAAAAGCAGTGACTGACCACACACAGTCAGACCTCCACAATTTGTGGGTTTACAATAGTGTGAAAGTAACACAAATTTAACAGAAACAGAAACCACTCTATTTTTGATCACTCCCTGACTAATGATAGCAGTAGCATTATCTTTTGTGAGGCGAGACAGTGGCAGTAATCACAGCTTTAGTAATTCCCCAGGTTTATCATGTGATAAACAACCAAGATTCCATCATTAACTGAACTCAGCTATGATACTTAGTAGATATATGTCAACTTACAATAGATTTATCCAGATATAACCCCATCTTAAGTCAGCAAATATTGATAGGTATATCTGTAAATGAGAAATATTACTACAAATATGAGAAGGTGAAAACACTGTAATGACCTTTGTAGTGTCAGACTCAAATTGGACTTAATAGAGGTTGCATGCATGATACCTACTATGTACCTATATAGAAATAACTGTAAACATATGCTTTCAAATCTTATCACAAAGCTTATCCAACAACTCGTTAATTCCAGGACTGAGATGGAAATACCAGATAAACCTGAACATTTTCTTGGGCAGAAAGTAAGTTAGAGCCCAAAGAATGATACATTCCTGTTAATTGAACATGAAAGCATTTTGAAGCAGTTTACATTGGCCAAACTTGGGAAATTGTGAGCACCAAAATAAACAATATAACATACCAAATAAAATAAGAATCAATTTATTTATAAGTAGATTGATAGGGAACAGTCTTAGAGAAACCCAAACAATTAATTATGGGGGGGGGCAGGACATGGCGGCACACACCTGTAATCTCAGTACTTGAAAGGTACAATCAGGAGGATCACAAGTTAAGGCCAACTCAGCTACATAGTAAATTTGGGATATTATGAAAAAAATTCAAAAGGGAAAGAGAATGACTTAGAAATGGGGCTTAGAAAACACACTATGTCATGAAGTGACAAAGCCACTTAATTAGAAATACAACAATGTTACATGACAGCTATGAACAGAATGAACACAGAAATACTTGCTGTCTAAAATGAACCCATTCCAGGAGTAACAAATTCACAAAAAGGAACAGCATACAAAGTAACTGGCTTGCTTCTTCAAAAGGTCGTCATGAGAATATAAACACAGCAGATTAAAGGCAACTATAGAGACATGACAATGAGCAAAGCAAGATTCTGTACAGAACCTTGGTAGCCACAGAGAGAACATTCTACGGACAACATTCAACTAAAATAACTCCAACAGTCTATAGACAAGATGGTGATGACTTCTCAATGTTAACTTGCTAGGTTTGATGGTTGTATGAAATTATGAACCATGCTTGTTTACAGGAAGCATTCATGAAAGTTTTAAGAATGACAGGATATCTTACTCCCAACTTATAAATGGTATTTGTACCATCCTTATGACTGTTCTGTACACATGTTTCAACTATGAACTTACTACATATGTATGCAACTATTAAATGACTGCATGAAATAAAAGAAAACATGCTTTTAATACTGACACTTAGGAGACAGGCAGACAGATCTCTGAATTCAAGGCCAATCTGGTTTACAGAACCTGGTCCAACACAGCCAGGGCTACAAGGTGAATCTTTGTCTCAAAAATGAAAAATAAGAACTAAGAATATCTATATATATAGATAGAAAAATAAAATTTAATTCATCTACTTATTAATTTTGGTTATCTCCATGATGACTATATAATTCAAAAGGTATCATAAACATTTTGGACTACTTGGAAGTGACCAATGAATTAAATTTTTGTTCATTAAATTTTAGATATAAAAACATACCATATGTTCAAGATTAAACTATAGTATATTAATATCTTGGATCTTTTAATATCTTGCCCCACCAATTCTGTTGCATCAAAATAGTAAATATGACAAAGATATAAGGAAATCATTGGGTAACTGTTTATACTGTATGCTTTACCTAAAAACACATTTACTTAATCTATCAAGTTTATTATATTCAATTAAAAGATACTATTTATGAAAGATCAATTTATTTAATTCCTGGGACTGAATGTGGCCACTAAGCAAGTAACTGAAAGGGGTTGCTATATTTACTATGCCATTAAAGCAAATGAGTTAAAATTTAAGTTTAAAAGTGTTATCTAGAGTTTACTTGTAATACCTTTCATTTGCCAATGATTATCCAAGCTCAACTCACTATATAGTATTACTACAGCAAGATATAATGAAGAATATAAACTTAAACCCCAAACCTAGCTGGATTCTTCTTGGAGGAATAAGTTAGAAAATGAACAAAGATTGAAAGTTATAGGGTTTATCATTTGGCTCTGCCTGCTACTCTCACACAGGACCAGAGTTTGGTTTTCAACACCCATATGTTCTCTTCTGGCCTGAACACATGTGGCAGACATACAGTGACATAAAAAGAGATACACACCCATATATTAAAAGAAAAATTCAAATTCTGGCTTTACTAAAAGTTTGTATGACCAGAAGTCAAAGTAGCATGTCTCAGATAATGGAAAACTATCACTATGAAATATAGTAATTCCAGTAACTGCAGATAACAGCCAAGAGCTAAGACTGAAACCAAGTAATACTTGCATTATTATTATTTTTATTCTCAGTAAGTTAATATGGTATGAAATGGAAACACAGAGCTGTGAGAGGGTAAAGGCACTTGCCATGAGGCCCAAGTAAACAGAGCAAAACAAAATTTTCTGAACCAAAACTAATTTGCTTGCAAAGGATCCAATCCCAATTATTAAACAGTAAGTATTACAATTATCACCTAACAATTCTGATATTTAGTTTTGGGGATAGCCACTAATCCATCCCAACCCTACTGCCTACCTTTTCTAAACACCTCAGTGAAATCTCAATATAGCTTCCAACTTTCTACTCTTTACATACTCTGTTCTCTCATTTGAAATGCACAAAAGAGTACTTTTTATGGGCACAGAATCATCATTCTGAAAGGAATCTTAGAGTTATGCTAGTCTACTTTATAAATTAATAACACCATTTACCTAAGGGTGTATGAAAGTCCAATGTTAGCATTCTTTCTGTTATACAGTGGTTCATAACACCCTAGATAGTATTTGTTAAAATCAGATTTCCAAACTCCATCTGCAAAAATGTTGCTCTAGTAATTCAGGTTAGGACCAGATCTTTTTTTTTTTTTTTTACAAAAGAATTCCCAGTGTCTGTAAAGCAAGGAGCAGTCAGGTATGGTGGTACTCAACTATAATCCTAGTACTTGTAAGGCTTAGGCAAGATAAGACTGCAATTCTAAGCCAGCCCAGGCTGCAGAGAAAGACCCCATTGTAACCAGTAACAGAACACAAGGAGTGCATGTATCAGGTCACAGGAAATGATACAAATAAAGAATGCATTAAGTATATTTTAGCCTTCAGTACTTAGGCCATGATCTGAAAATCACCATTTCATCTGTCATAATAGAATCTCCAAAAGATACTCACAGCTACTTGGGCTGAATCCATGAATCTCAGACCAAAATAGTCACTTTCAATCAAGTCCAGGTGATACATAATTTGGTCAAATAGTTCTTGTCCTTTGGCTTTTTTCTGAAATAGCAAAAAGATGATCAGTAAGTGGCTTAAGCGGGGTCATTGTCCTATTTTTGATCTTAGGGAGAAAAAGGTATTTCTTTTATTCTTCTGTTTATTGCTTATGTCTTAATCTTTAATGTTTCTTTTCCTCCAATAGGAAGATTCCCAAATCATGACCTAACCAATTTCTTCTCCCCCCCCCCCTTTTTTTTCCTAAAACAAGTAAGGTAGTCTTGGCTGTCATGGAATTCACTCTGGAGACCAGCCTGCCTCTGCCTCTGGAGTGCTGAGACAGTGCTCCACACCAATTTCTTTCTGATATCAACTGATTCCACTTTCATCAACTATAGTATTTAATTATTTATTCAAACTGTATTTCTTATTTAACATACCTTTCCCACCTGATATTCCACTGGACCCTTTTCAAACAAGCTTTATTTCACATTGTTAACCTTCCCAGATCTTTTAGAAAACTTATTATGACTTTTCTATTTCCTCTCTGTGTTTGCCTAAGTATTCTTTGCAATGTTTTTGTCTTGAACTTCTGAGATACTTCTGTGTATTTCTCTTGAATTTTAGGAATGTAACTTACCCTGTCCAGATTAAATATAACAAGAAAAAACAACCTAACCCTAAAGTCCATGACTACTCAAACTTAGCTCTGATGGGGGCTGAGGAGGGCCCTCGAGAAGAGAGCCCCAAGGACCACAACCCCAGTCAATGCTTCACTGGCAATAATTCCTAAGGTCAGTCATGCAAATGCACTCTCACTCCTAGAAGAGCTATCCCTCTAACTATAACTCACTACAGTCAGCTGGGAACTATCTATCCAGGTGAGGGGACTGTAGGAGAGGGAATTTTAGAGGCAGAGAATACGTAAACGGATGGCGTGACTGCGCCAAGAGTGTCCAAGTGGGACATGTACGGGAGAGTATAGCCAGAGAGAGGCATCTGAACAATACGGAGCAGAGCAGTGGACTGAACATGGCCTACACACTGGACTTGGCCACAAGAGAGGTGAGATGGAAAGAGAGATAGATGAGGACAAAGAGTGCAGGTAAAGGAGACCAAAAGAGCCCACAGCTGAAGAAATTGAGGGTAGGGGATGGGTGGGAAGAGCCAGCACCAAGCCTGTAACAACAGGCACTTGATGGGGGGGGGGGGGCCCTGGAGGCCAGCAAGCCTTTTGGTATGCTAACAGGCACCACAGATAGCCATTTGTCCCAAGTTTCTTCTGGGGCTGACAGAGAGCATTTCAGACAGTGGCACTAGGGTTTATTATTGCAGACAATTACACAAAGTGGCAGAGTCACTGCTACCATACCACTCAGAGGGCACATACTAACAATCAAGACCACAAGGGGGTGGGGTCAAAATACCTTCTCCCTCAATCTTTCTTCCCACAGACACTCCAGTCTGCAGCCAGGATAATCCCAAGTCCAGCCCAGGGAAGGAGGGGAGGGAGGGAGGGAGAGAGGGAGGGAAACAAGGGGGAGGGGAAAGGTGGGGAGTGCAGGTATGAACAGAACTCTGGCTAACTTTCCCATTTATTTCCTAGGTTTCATGGGCTAGTCTTAAGGCAGTAAATCAGAAAGTCCTTTCTTGTCCCAAAAGAGCCAAAAGTCTCATTAAAAAATTTGGGTTTGAGAATGATTTTAACTTCATCTAGGGATGTAACTCATATCCCATTCACCCATTGAAATGTAATTTAAGCTAGGTGTGGGGGTACAGGCCTTTCCTCTCAGCATGAGAGGGAGACTCAGGCAATGTCTGTGAGTTTCAGGCCAGCCAGTTCTACATAGTGAGATACTGTCTCAAAAAACAACAGGAGTATGTAATTCAGTGGATTTTAGTACACACAATAAGTGTGTAAAACCATCAGAGTTGATTTCAGAATATTTTCATTACCTCTAAAAGATATTCCATATCCTATGGCTTCATTTCTACCTATTCTGCTAGTTCCCAAGCAACCACTAATCTATCTTTTCATTTCTACAGCTTGCCATAAAACAGAATCAAAATGTGTGGTTTTTTGACTAGCATAGAATTTTCAACAGTTATTCATGTTGTTAACAGAAAATCACTTTCATTTCTTTTCAGGATAGTAACTTGTTGTAACCTATACATCCTGAGGTCCTCTCAGCCATTCCCACCTTTTGCCTATTATAAACAATGCTACTGTGAACATCTACACAGTTTTGTGCAAGCATGTCTTTAATTCCCTTGGACAGATTTTGAAAAGTAGAAATACTTAGTCACGAGGTAACAATGTCCTATCATTTGAATAGGTATGGGATTGTTTTCCAAAGAGCTGTTTTACATTTCCCAATCTCAAATGTTAGTTTCTGATTTCTCCAGTTTCTCCAATACTTGCTATTATGGGACTTTTGAGCCCTCTTATTTGAGTATGAAGAAGTATTTTATTGTGCTTTTTGGTGCTGGGGCTTAAAGCCTGGGCCTCACACATATAAACATATTTGGCCACTAAACTATACCTCACCCAACTCTGACTTCTCATGTATTTTATATGTCCTAACTAAACAATGTCTACTTAGCCAGGCAGGAGTGATGCACACCTTGAATTCTGGCACTCAGGAGGCAGAGGCAGGCAAATCTGTGAGTTTGACACCAGCCTGGACTATAGAGCAAGTTCTAGAACAGCATGGGCTACAAAGAGAAATCCTGTCTCAAAAAAACAAAATCAAACAAAAGTCTACTTAGATCTTTTGCTTATTTTTAAATTGGGTTATCTTTTTATTTTGTTGTAACAGTTCTTTATATATTCTAGATACAAGTTCCTGGTCAGATATATAATTTTGAAGCACTTTGTTGTTATGTTCTAAAGTCTTTTATCTTTCTAAGTGGTACCTTTTAAAAGGCACACATTTATAATTGGGATTAAGTCTAATTTGCCTGATTTTTCTTTCTTTCTATTTTGTTACTCATTATATTGATGGCATTATCTAAGAAAATAAATATTCCTACATTTTCTTCTAAAGATTTTACAGATTTAGTTCTTAGGTTTATATCTTTGAGCTATCTTAATTTTTATACCTACTATGAGGAAAGCAACTTTATTCTTCTGCATGTACATATCACGATTTGTTGGGAAGAAAAAAACCATTCTGTTGAATAATTTTGGTGCCCTTATCAAGACTCAACTGACCACAAATGTAGGCAGAACACGCACACATATGAAAATAAATAAATCTGGTGGCTGGAGAGGTGGAGAGGGGTTAAGCATGCTTGCTGCTTTTCTAGAGGGCCCAAGTTCAGTTCCCAGCACCCACACTGTGCATGTCATAAGTAAGTCTATCTACAGTGGATATACTGCCCTCTTCTGGCCCTCTTCTGGCCTTGATGAGCAGCTGACTCATGTGTACATAGGCACACAAGTACACAAATAAAATTTTAAAAAACTGAATCTAAGATTTATTTTTAAAGGCCATGTTTTTTGTTCCAAAAGAACAATCTAAAGCGGTGGCTCTGTCACTGCAGCTGTCCCCTAACATGTCTAGACCCAACCAATGTGTCACCATTTTGGCCGGACACTAAACACTTGGTCTACTTCTTTTGAAGCTAATACCTTTTCTCCTCTACACCACAGTGCCCTTTGAAAATGCTTCTCTAAGAATTCACAGTATCAGCCTAGCCATCAACAACCCTAAGACTTCATACTTCAAACATTACGTAATAAATTTTTCCCTGGGCTCTCACACAACAATCTCATGCTTTTCACTACATATCTATAGCAAATGGACTCAGAAAACTCTTCAAGATTCTTATCAAATAAAAAATAAATATCAAAACTATCCTTACCAAGTATTTCATGTCGGAATAGCTCACAAACCCTCAACAAGCCCTTACAGGAAGAAAATTTAGAAACCGTAAAGTGTACAGAATCAAAAACTCTAAAAATGTGCAATGTCCACTTAGATAACAAACACACAATGAGGATTTGCAAACACTTTAAGAGAGCTGGGTATGGTGAGCACACCTGTGATCCAGCTGAACTTCTGAATGTAAGGCCTTTCAGAATTTATTCAACTATATACTGTAGCCACACTGAGCCATCGGTTTTCTAAACAGACTTTTAAAACTGAATTTTAGTAAAAAGTCTATAGGGACAGCAGACATCAAGAAACATTCAACGAACTTATGTCAAAAATCACAAAAGTTAGAGTTAAGTGAAGCCTCGGAAACAGAACAAAGACATAAGAGATCTGGTATCTGGAAATAGTTCTGAAATTAAGCCTGACATGGCACACACCTGTACTCTCACACTGGGTGGCTGAGGCAGGACGATCACAAATACAAGGCCAACCTGAGTCACCCAGTGAGATCCTGTCTATAAAAACACAAGTATGTACATGCACAGACATGCACAGAGTTAATTCATACCAGTAACTGCCCATCATTCAAGGGTTCTTGCAACTGCCACTAATTAAAAGTCCTCTTGGCCTACAGGTCCCAGTCCATGTAACTGAACACTTCAGAGCCTGATCCATACCCACCCTATGTCACCTACCCCAAGGAAGCTCAGACAACAGTAACCTCACACACAGCTGGCAGCTAAGAGGGCTGCTTACCGGCAAGTCCACACTAACATCTGTACCATCCAGAAGGGACACCCTGCATGTGATGACAGATTTGGCATCTCCAGCTGCAGGGATGTGTGTAGCAGCACGCTGTGCCTCTCTGAGTCGCTCCTTCTCAGCATGTTTGCGCATAGACCGGCGGCCAAGTGTTCTTCTCAGGAAGCTCAACATCTCTGCCACTAAAAAACCAGCAGTGAAAGAGATAGCAAGGAAAAGACACTTCCAAAATTAATGGTATAAAATTAATGGTGGTATTTAGTAAAATTTAATGGACATTAACTGGAAAAAGTTAAAACACATTACCTTTTATACATATTTCAAAGCATGTTGCACACAATACTTTCAATTTTCATTTCAAAACAATTTTTAAAGCTAGATTTTAACATAAAGCTTAAAAACATATTAAAATAAAGCAATGCTTACAGCCTTTTGAACTTACTGTCTTATTTTATAAGGAGCTGATCTAGCAGGAGAAAGCAATCATTCATGGCATTCGACAAGTGTCTGGGATCAGTAAGTGGTACCTAAGGTTGATGACTATCCCTACAGACATTACACAACAGTGCCAGACACCGCTGAGGCAGACTCTTTTTTTTTTTTTTTTTAACTGAGCATTCAAAACACAAGTAATTATCTATTTTAGCAAAGTACAAACAAATTCAAACTCCTAAAAGTTTTATCAAATATTCTATTGCTTAATGTTCTACTAAGAACATTAAAGTTAAGCACACAGTTAAAATAGCTACTAGTTATTTAAAATATTGCACATTATAACTGAAAACATCAAATACTGATATGGAAACACATACATGCAAAGGCCATACAGCCCCTTCGTGAACCTAGTGTCTTCAGTTTTACAACTGAGAGACTCCGAAAAAAGTAAACATTAACTGTATACACATAAAGACAATTACTAATTCCAGGGAAACAGTGTAGAGAAGGCAGGACAGTCACAGCACACACACAGCAAATAGCTGAAGTTGTCAGGACACTACTGTAGCTCTACAGTAACTACCACTGGAGGAGGCGCTGCCCGAGGCAGACAGTAAGGTATGGAGAGAGCTGTTCTCAGTTCACCAGACAGTTTAAAGAGTGAGGAAGCCTGGGAGAGGAGGCCGCAGAATTCCAGGCAGAGCCACAGTTTTAAAGCCTCCAAATTAAATGACTATTTCAACTAGACGGGGCTGTCAATCTGCTTTTTTAAAGGGTAACTTTAAGGTCATATTCCTGTGTTAAAATTTAAATACCCATGAACTCAAGATTACCAAACACATTTCACAATAGTGTTTTACATGTATTTCAGATTTTAACCCAAAGAAAGAACTTCAGTTCGGGACAGCCAACCCCACACCCACCAGCTATGTGGTTTCTCCAGGTGGGTTTTAAATAGGTCTCCAGGCTTCTTTCACTGTGGACTCCGAACTTTTAAAGCTGTTTTTACTGAACCCTACTCCTTCCTTTTAACCCAGCTCCATCATACCCACAGAGAAACATACTGATAGCTATGCTAGTCATTACAATCACACTTCCACTGAACCTTATTATAATCAGATAATTGAGAGTATAATCTGAGCAACTTGAGTATAATCCTTATTTTTCTTTAGTATCTTAAGATTTTTTTATCAGCTTTTTAAAAGAAAAATATTCAAAATGCTTTATAAATTTATTTCCTAAGAAACTATAAAACTATTTTTCTTACCTTACCCTGACATTTTGAAAAACAACTACTACTGTAAGTTATTTAATTAAAGAAAAACATCTTTCCTTTAGATTTCTTTTATTTTCAACAATAAAACCCAATACTGTGAAGAATAGCAAGTTCTTTTCACAGCATGAAATAACATACGTTTCAAGCAAAAAATGAAAAATTACTAGGAGGAAATAAAATAATAAAGGACTTTTAAACAATTTCTGAAAAAAGGTAATTTGAAGGATTACTAATTAGTTTAACAGTTATTACAGAGATGCAGCTTGGTGATAAGAGTGCCTGTCTACCATACACTAGGCCCTAGGTTAGATGCCCAGAAAGCAAAAACAAATTAACTAGATAAACAACCCAACAGAAGAAAATGGGTGACATGAAAAAGGACATCCCAAATGAGAATAACATGGAAGCCTCATAAATAATTCTTAGCACTTGGAAAGCTAAAAGAGGGGAGTTCTGAGTTCTAGGTTAACCTGGTCTATGTACATGCCAATTCCAGGCAATTATGAGCTACAAATGAAGGTCCTATATCAAAAAACAAAAAACAAACAAACAAAAAAACCCCAAAACCCAACAAACAAATAAAAAAGATAAGAGGGCTGATAAGATGGCTCAGTGAGGCAAGGTCCTTAAGGCAAAGCCTGACATCTGAATCTGGTCCCCAGAAGGGGAGATCCAACCCTATAGGTATGCAAGTGTACCCCCTCACATCAAACTCAAGATTAAGAGTCCAATAGCAGCTGAGAAGATCTAAACTAAAATTAGATAAAAGCCCACATACCCAGCAAGGGGGGGGGGGAGAAGAGCACTAGGATGCAATCATCACTGGCTACACAGCAAGTTCTAGGCCAACCTAGGCAACATGAGACTCTGTCTCAAATACAAAATAAACAAGTAAAAGCAAAAAGTTACAAGTGGGATGCACCTGACACATCAGCACTGCACAAGCTAAGTCCAGGGAAGACACCTGTCCCTGTATGCCTTCGGTCTCTAGTGGGTGGGGGGTGCTGAATGGTGGAAGGAGAGACCAGCTCCCATAGGTTCTCTGATATCCTCACACATGCGCGTAAACACACACACACACACACACACACACACACACACACACACACACACACACCAGTGCTTAAAAAAAAATGCCATGGAGGAGTCCTTGGTTGGATCTCCTTGTAGCAGAGAGAATGCTTTCATACACTGTCATACATTACCCTATTTGAACAAGTTACTAAATTGCATAGCCGTTATGCAGCAGCAATCCTATTTCTAAGTTGCAGGAACAAAAACTTTTCTTGGCCTAACTGACTTAAGAAATTCCTATATTTATCAAGATGCAAAGAGCTAAGTGAGTTACAGTATAAACACTGGTATAAGACACAGCTGTTTCTTTTATTGCAGCACTTGAGGAGAGGCAGGTGGATCTCTATGAGTTGGAAGTCAGCCTGGTCTACAGGCCAGCCAAGGCTACACAGTGATACCTTGTCTTAAAGAAACAAACCAAATCTGCCTTAGACTAAATTTTTAAGTGAAAATTCAAATCAATTGAGAAATGAAAACAGTATAATACTTGGAGATATAATCCACAAATATCCTCACACACATACATAGAAACTTCAAAATGCAGATGATTTAAGGGAGTTCTCTCAGCAGAGAGTTAATCCACATGTCATAAAATGATGTGTGGCTTTAAGTTTTTAAATAGTAAAACATAAATTTTAAGGGTTGGGGAAAAAAGTGTCCCCATATTTTTGTTCCCTCATGGCACCTGCCCTCAGCCCTGTTCTCACACAGCCAGTGTGGGTGGATTACCAGCCAGCACAAATCTGATTCCTTTTTAAATCTTTAACAGCTCTGGCTCCTCCTCCTGGACTTCTGAGCGCCCTATCTCTGCTCCAGTGTTTGGCTCAGCTCAAGTGTCTAATTCCAGAACTTTCTTCACTAGTGGGTCCATCTTTCTAGGATAATCTGTGTCCACTCCATCTTTCAGTCTTCTCTCTCTTTAATATCGTTAATTAACTTTATGTTTACACCTGAAATGCTTTTTCCTCAGACAGGCACGCTGAGGTCCTGAGGATGAAATTAGGTGGCCCAGTCAGTACATGGGCTTTTCTCAACAACATGGAGAGAAACTGTAATTAAATATTTAATTGACTCCTTTTTTACTGGCTAGCCTCCCTCCCCTCAATAGGACAGCAGGGACCTGGCCTGACTTGTTTACTGCAATGAATGATCAAGGTGCTTGCTGGGATGCATATTATTTATCAGACAATAAATAAAAAACTGACGTGATAGACTGAAGTGATACATTAGAAAACTGTACTGTTTGAAGAAGCAAATCCTAAAAGAGGACAATAAAAGAGACTAATAAAATAACCCCAGTTCAGGAAGGCAGAAGCCAACCTGGGCTGCATATATACAAATTCCAAGCTAGCTTGGTCTGCTTAGAGAGGCAGGCACTGTCTCTAAAAAAAAGAACAAACGTGGTTTCTAGTAAGTTTCCTTTTCAATCACAGAAGTGAAAACTCAAGTAATCAATTAGCTACTTAACTAATAGCTGCTTAACCCCCCCCACCCCGTTTCTCATGAAATGTGTATATGCATATATTACTGAAGGGCAAGTGCACCTCCTCCATTTGGCTCTTCGTGGAGCAGTGCTGGGGGCTGAACCCTGGGCATGCAACAAGACACCGGGCCACTCCAGCCACTGACTTTTATTTTAACAGGAATAGTGCCAACCTACAGAAAATGTCCTTACGTTATCAGTATCTACCACCCCAATTATCTCTCGCAAAAGAAAATGTAACCGAGAAACTAAACTCAGGAAAAATCACGTACATCGCTTCCTAAACAAGTTTTCCTAACAAAACCAAAGCCAACAACCAAAAAAACATGTTTGAGGATTTAGCTCAGCATAGCGCGCTCCTGAACACGGGTTAGGTTCCCAGTCCCGAAAGAAAAGAACTAAGGGAAAAGGCGGGGGTGGGGGGGGCGGTAAGGCTAAGAAAGATACTAAAGCGATCAGGAAGACACAAATAAAAGTGGTGCTCGGCCCCGGTTTGGGCAATCGTAGTTGTGAACTACGTTAAGAATTTATTGGTGGGCTTATCTCAAATTCTTTAAGAAAACAACAACAACAACAACAAAAACCTGTACCAGTAACTTCAAACTATTGCCCAACCGCTTCGGGGGCCGGGGTCTGTTAAAAAGCAGAGCCCTGGAGACTGCAGGAAGCGCGGAGACAGGCACACTCATCTCCGACCCACGGGAGGACCGGTCGGTCCTTACCCGACGCGCGCCCCGCGTGCGGGCGGGAAGCGCCCTGGGCCTTGGCGGTTCCCGGGAACGCACCTGCCTCACGCGCTTCCCAAGTTTCGCTGGGCGGCGAGCGGGCTGGCACGGCCCGCGCCCCCGACCGGTTGACACTCGAGGCCGTGCCCTCACCCCACGGCTGCCCGGGGGGCCGGGCCGGACCCGGCGCTGCCGCCAGGACGCCCGAGACCCCAGCCAGGCGCCCGGCCCTCGGCGGCCGCCGCTCGGTATCGCCCGAAACTCAGCGCCCAGCCCCATTGGCCGCCGCCGCCGCCGCCACTCCCCTCCCGGCTCGCGGCGTCGCCCGGGGAGCCGGGCCGCCCACCCGGCCGCGCTTCGGGAGAAGACGGCGGGCGAAGTGGACGCCCGGGGCCACGCTCTTACCTCTCACTCGGGGGAGAAGAGCGTGTAGCGGCCGAGGGCACGACGACAGGCGCGCACGACCCCGGGGGCAGACGCACGGACGGACGGACGGAAGGGCGGCCGGCCTGCGGGGGAGGACGGGGCTGCCGAGGAGGACGCGGAGAAATGGCGGCGCGAGCGGCGAGCCCACCCTGCGCTAATCCCCCGACGACCCCGGCCGCCCGCGGGCACGCCCCTTAAAGCCCGGCCCAAGCCCCGCCCCGCAGGACGGGGTGCTCGGCCCTTAAAGGGGCGACGGCGCCGCCCCGGAAATCAGCCTCCCGGGACGCAATTTAAGCGGGCGACGCCAGGTGGGGCCCACAGGAACCAGACGCTACTGTTTAAGAGGCACCTGTTGCGCTTGCCCAAAACTTTTTGTCTTATCCCGAGGGCACTATTAGGTGTGTGGGAACTTGGCTGCTACACTGATTCGTTTGTTCATTAGTTAAAAAGTAAATGAATGAAACAAAAAGGGGGTTCGGGGAGGAAACAGAACCTGGCACAGGGATGCACACCTTTAATCCCGGAATTTGGGAGGCAAAGGCAGGAGGCTCTCTGGTGAGGACAGGGGCAGCCTGGTCTACTTAGTGAGTTCCGGGACAGATTACATAGTGAAACCCTGTCTCAAAAGAAAAGTGTTACATTTATTTGTCATGTGTATGTGTGTGGGGTGAGTAAGGAGGGGTGCATGTCTACCGCAGTGTGGGGGGCTTGTACAATTGGCTCTCCAGGCCCCATGATCTCAGGTGTCAGTTGGGAGACCAGGGGAGTCTATGGGGTCTCTGGCAGTGCAAGGACTTTGGAAGCCCATTCCACATAGGGGGATACTCTCTCAGCCTAGATACAGGGGGAGGGCCTAGGTCCTGCCCCAAATGATGTGACAGACTTTGATGATTCCCCATGGGAGGCCTCACCCTCCCTGGGGAGTGGAAGTTGGTTCTCTCCTATCATGTGACTGGCAGGGGACTGAACTTAGGTTGACACATTTGGCTGCAAGCACTTTTACTCACTGAGTACCTTGATGGCCCTTGATTTGATGTGATTTGAATTCTTTCTCCTCTCCCTGTCTGCCCCTTCCCCCTCTCTCCCTAACTCTTGGCTGTCCTGGAAGTCACTCTGTAGGCCAGGCTGGCCTGGAACTCTGGGATGCATTTGCCTCTGCGTCCTGGGATGAAATGCCTTCGCAACTACCACTTTCTCGATTATACATTTTAAAGTCAAACATTGGGTTGGGATATAGTTCATTGGTTGGGAGTTAGACTAGTACACACTAGACCCTAGCACAGCTATTTTTAATATGGTCTGGTATATCTTTTTTTCTCTTACACAATTGTTCATTGATTCGTACATACTTAAAAGTTTTCTTGCTCCCTTGCCCCCAATTCCTAGGGATTAGAATGGATTTAAGCCTTTACCATTAAAAGCAACTTTCAGTCTACATGGGAGAAAGAGAGTAAACAAATATGTGTCAAATGGTGATAAGTGTCCTGGAGAAAAACAAAGCTAGGGAAGGGAAATAACAGACCGATGCTTAGCTTAAGCTGTGGCCAGGGAGGTCCTGAGTGGTAAGGCAACATTCCATTCATTCATTCTTCAGATAATTTATCAAAATGCCTACTGTGCTGTAGGCCCTGGAGATAGGACAGATAAAGAAGAAAAAGTCCCTGGAGGCAATCACAGTGACAAAAATCTGTAGTCCCTTGGGAGGGAGGCTCAGTAGTGAGATCAGGGCAACCTTAGGTTACATTTTGAGATTCTGCGACAATTAAACAAGTTTATTTCATGGTCAAGCCTGTGTGGTAGAGTTTACCTGTAGTTCTTGCTACTGTCGAGGCTGAGGCAGGAGGATCACTTGAGTCAGAAATTTGAGGCCAGTTACCTAACACATCTGAAGACGGAGGAGGGTGAGGAAGGGGAAAGAAGAAGGAAGGAGGAGAGAAGGAAGGAGAGAGAGAGAAAAGGAAGGAAGAAGAAAGAGAAAAAAGGATGTATGTAGCAGACTGCTTGAAGTCCTGGGTTCCATATACATGTTTGGTTAGCTGTTAGTAAATACTAAAGAGAAAAGTAACAACAGTGAGTGGGGTCAGGGAACCAAGGGCTGCAAATTCAGCAGTGACACTGAGTTCAGACCTAAAGAGGAAATAGCCCAGTAGACCCTGAAAGAGAAGAAACAGCAAGGGCAAAGGCCTGTGTGGATAAGCTCAAGGTCTGCAGGGGCCTGGGGCAGGGGGCAGGGGCAGGGGGCAGGGGGAGGCATTGAAAAGGGAAAGAGGGCAGGGTGAGGGCCAGAAAATCAGTGTGCAGTGGGAAGGCCCAGGAGTCGCCATGTCTGGGAATTTGGCACTGACCACACCTGCACCATCCTGGTTAAACCTGGCAGAACTGCTCTCTCTCTGCTCCGGTGTTATTACCTGCGTATTGTCAGTCACCTGTGTGGCATGTCACCTGGGGCCAATTGAGCAACAGCTGAGTATTACACACTGCTCAACTCATAGCAGGGCCTTTGGGGGTAGAAAGAGGAAAAATGGACGTTCCCTGGCTGATTAGGGACAAGACCAGGAAATCAGTGTCATTTCTGCTGCCTGGTACAGGTTTTTAAAGCAAGACTAGTCTCAAAAAAAAGAGGGGGGGGGAGGTGTAGGCTAGGGATCTAGCTCTCTTGATAGATGCACACATAAAAATATAATAATTGTAAAATGTAATTATGGAACACCCATATGATGGCATAATTAAAAAGAATGAGATAGGGCTGGTGAGATGGCTCTGCAAGAAGACACTTGCCACCAAGCCTGATGACCTGAACTTGATTCCCAGGACTCAACATGGTGGAGAGAACTAACTCCTCTAAGTTTTCTTCTGACCTCTACATGGGGACTGTGCCAGTACATACATGGTCATTCAAAACGACCTCCCAAATAAATAATGTCTTAAAGAATGTGATAAATGTGACTGTGAATTATCCTACAACGAAAAATGAAGTGCAGTGAAGCATTAATCTAATTAATCTTAATAAATAAAAAGTCAGGAGTCAAATGCGATCAGAACCTGGAAGACCAAAGAACCGAGGAGCAGCCAGTAAGGACCACATACTTCTCCGGATCCTTACAGAGAGAGAGAGAGAGAGAGAGACAGAGATAGAGAGACAGAGATAGAGACAGAGAGACACACAGAGAGAGAAGGATCTCAGGCCTTTTTGGTCTGAGGATCCTGTCTCCACCTCCAGAGCCACCACTGGCCAGCTTCTGTGGTTAACTAGTGGCTAGCTCCACCTTCTGATCTCCAGGCAAGCTTTATTTATCAAAACACAAATAAAACATCACACAACATTACAGGCTATATCATACAATCCTGCAAACATAAATATACATGTATACACAAATGCACATTTCCCCCAGAAGAAAATATATGTGAACAGAGGTCATCAATGGTGTGATGGGGCTTACACTGTGCCCCAAGACTTCATATAGCTCAGAGTTGCTGTTAATCCTGAGATTTGCATGACTCAACAATTTTGAGTCAAATTTGAAGCAAGCTTTAATCAAGTACTGACCAGAAAAATGGACTCGGGTCAGATCCACCCTAGTTCCCAGCGAGTGGCTACAAGGCCACAAGGCTGTAGGGCCTTTTAAAGGACAAAACCATAAGGCTACTATATATACCATGTGTTTTTTTCCTAAGAACTACAACTCCCAACATTCCAGGAAATTACCTGGCCCTTGGACAGGTGGGATTTATAGGCTGACAGGCTTTTACAGAACCAAATTTGAATCTCCTGAGTGCTGGAATTATAGGCCTGTGCTGTTCACCAGGTTTGAGGGGGCTTTGCTTGGACTTTCTTCAAAATGTTTCTCATAATTTCTTTTTTCTCTTATTTTTGATACTGGGGCTCTATGTTGCTCAGGCTGGCCCTGTACCCCTGTCCTAAAGTGATTCTCCTGCCCCAGCCTTAAAAGTAGCAGGTGGGACTACAGGCACACATCACTATGCATGGTACCTGCCTTTACCATGAATGCACCTAAAAAGTCATTGGCTGCAGAGTGTGGTGGTACAGCTCTTTGATACCAGCACTTGAAAGGCAGAAGCAGGCAGTTTATTGAGTTTATGGCAAGCCAAGGATACCTAAAAAACAAACACTCCCCCCCACCCCATACAACCAAAAAAACCAAACCCTGAGTGCTGGTAGTCTTTACTACATCCCTTCCTGTAACATGCAAATGGAATGCCCAACTTCCCTCTCTCTTCTAGATGCAAAATGGCATACCTGACTGCACCTGGGAAGATGTGATTCAGGGTTACTTGCAGAGAAGTCTTGAGTTATAAGGTATTGCTTTGGGATTCCTGGAGGAGTTGTGGCCACTATGAAGGAGACTGCAGATACTTTTAATTCTCTAGGTGGGTAGAGAGATGGCTCAATAGTTAAGAATGCTTTTTCCTCGGCCAGGCGGTGGTGCCTTTAATCCCTATACGTGGGAGGTGAATCTATGTGAGTTCTAGGCCAGCCTGGACTGTTACACAAAGAAAACCTGTCTTGAAAAAGCAAACAAACCAAACGAATGCTTACTGCTCAAGTATGAGGATCTGAGTTAGGATTCCTAGAATCCTGTGTGATGGTATGTGTGCCTGCAACCCCATGCTATGGTTGTTAGAGACAGGGATCACAGGCTTGCTGGCCAACCAGTCTAGCTGAAAAATATTAAAGTCTAGGTTCAATGAAAGACTTTGTCTCAAGAGAATAGGGTGGAGATTGAGAGAGGGGAACACCAAATGCCCTTCCAGCTGTTCCAGAATATGTACATGTCCATACACCACACCACACACACAAATATTCTTTAATTTTCTAAATTCTCTTTAAATCTCCACTCTCCCCATTCCCTTGAGAAGTCATTGTGTAGCCAGTAGGTGGTGGTGCCAGCCTTTAATCCCAGCACTTGGGATGTAGAGACAGGCAGATCTCTGTGAGTTCGAGGCCAACATGGTCTACAAATGAGTTCCAGGACAGCCAGAACTTACTAAGAAAAACCCTGTCTCGGAAGAAGAAGAAGAAGAAAAAA